CAGAATACAGAACACAAAATACTGCAATAAATTTATTTTATAGCAAGGCACATTCTGATTGTTAGAAATTTTTTTCCAACAGTAAGAGCAGTCCAACAGTGAAACCAATCACCAAAGTAGTAGTGTACTCCCCTTTGTTCAATGACAGCCATTCTGTTCTGGAGGCTTTAGTATTAGAACAGGAATTGGAGTTGAAGGCCCAGGTGACTCTCCCCTGCTGACACCTTCTCATTCTGCATATTGTAAACTATTTTGAGCACTTCCAGATAGTCCAGTGGAAGTCTCATGGTACTGTGGGGTGTGTGCGCGAGAGAGAAAGGTTTGTTGCTAAAGCAGACCCTGAATATGGAAAGGACCATCTTTGGGAAGGGAAAGCCTTATGGCCTGAGTGAGAATGAAACAAGTCTGTCTGTTTTTATAAGTGTCCTCATCTAACACACACAGACTCTTTTCCTCAAATTATCTGATTTCCTTACTTCAGCAGCACTCAGGCTCTTAAGAATATACAAAGAGTCCACCTGTACTGATCCGTTCTCTTCATCCCTGCATCCCCCAAAAAACTGGGACAGCAGTTTATTATGTATTATCAATAGTTATTAATTGGTTTCAGATAAAATGGTGTATCCCAGAGAACCACATAGGCTTTCATGGCTAAACTGAACATTCAATTTCAAAGAATGGTAAGAAAAGGGCAACTCTAAAGTCTAAATATTGATTGCTTTGATTTTTATTTCTAAATGAATATGCTGCCTTTTTGGGGTGGTTCATATCCATAAATGATTCCCCCCCCCCCACAGTGAGACAAATCTGTAGACTATGGCCATTTTGATGGGGTTATGTTATGGCTGCTTCCTGACTTACATCTGCTGACAAAATGAAAGAACTGGAATGCTGTGTTACTGATATCTTATCATGAGAGAAAGAAATGGGTAAATCTGTACAAACTTTACAGACTTGAGTGAAGAGAAAAACAGTGTGAGCTAAAGTGACAGGGACCCTTGGCCTCAGTCCCAAGAATGAACTGCATATGGGTAATATAAGCTGCCTCTTGTTGCTACTTGGGAAGAATGTGGTCTCATTGAGTTACACATCATATCCCTGTGACAACAAATACATATGGCATATTTCTGTGCAAGATCCTTTCTATTTTTTTTACACCCTTGCTAGAATCACTGACTGTAAAGCTGGTTTTATCAAGCAAAGACAAACAGAATGCTTTTGTGCTGACTTATTTATGAACAGATGAAGCAAAAAACCCAGCCTATCATATTCATTCATAAAAGATGCGGGCAAAGATGCAGTTTCAAACTTTAAGCCTTCTATTTCCATTACAAAGAATACATTACTATTATGAACGTGCTAATGGACTAGCTGAAAGCCAAGGTGGTGTAGTGGTTAAGGCACCAACCTAGAGAACAGGAGATTGAGAGTTCTAGTCCTGCCTTAGGCACAAAGTTAACTGGGTGACCTTGGGCCAGTCACTCTCTCTCAGCCCTAGGAAGAAGGCGGCAGTGGCCAACCACTTCCAAAAAACCAGAAAAATCTGGAAGTCATGACTTGCGAGGGATTGAAATTTGGGAAATTTGTGGCTGCTTCATGACTGCTGTGCTGCTATGCCACCGTGGTCAGCCCAGGTCATGGGCATATCCCTGACCTCTTTCCTGCATTTTTCGGTCCCCTGTGCCCAATCAGCTGGTGGCAAGGCCAGACAGGCGAGTGGTGATCGGCTGCTTTGGAAACAAGGCAGAAATTTGAAATCTTTTAATGGTGGTGGACGTTGAGGGAAGGATGAGGGAGCAACTTGGATGCCTGCTAGCGAGATAGGACTGGTCACCTGGTGGTTGACGGGTGAGCCCTCTCCCTGCCAGAATGGGGAGCAGGGCTGCAGTGTTCCTCATGGTCCATGTTTCCCTTGTTCCATTTCCCCCCAGTAAAGTGGCAGAAAGTTCCACTGGTCAGCTAAGGAGAAGGAGGAGACTTCACTGGGGCTCTCCTGAGGGTTGTGAGAGGAGGGCAAATGGCACAAGTCTATATTATATGTGGAAAGGAGGGAGGGAGGGAGGGAGATTTCTGGTGCTCCTGCCAGCTTCCCACAAGCAAAATCAATGGGGAGCTTGCAGCAAGTTGCAAGTCGCTCACACTCCCACTGCTTTTTTGCCCGTGGTCATTCTGTTTCTCTGTTTAGGTAAGGAAATATCTCTGAAACAATGACCAAATGGGTCACGGGTTGTGTAGTTTACCTTAAAATTCTTTCTTCCAGGAATTCATCTACTTCAGAACTCGTCCTTGAGCATTTTTTCAGAGCAAATACCTGCTCAGCTTTACTACAGGTATAAAAATTATACAAATGCCATATATCAGGCAGAAAAATGAAATTATTTCTAAGCTCACTGAAGAGTCATGCTTTACAAAGTTGCAGACAAAGAGCAAGTATTTCAGTTTAAAAAAGAACTTATCCTGGGGGAAAATACCACACGATTAATATTAAAAGGGCTACAAATTTTTCTACAAATCTAAAAAAGAACATCTTCATGTTACCAAGTCAACTCAATTTTTATTAAACATGTGCTAGATACCAGGCTTTTTCATTCCCTGAACAGGTTCATGAAATAGGGGAAACAGTATGCTAGCTTTTTTTCTCCCACTGGAAGCAATAAAAAGGGGGAATAAAAAATAAAGCTATGGCAAAAAAGATACACACACACACACACACACACACACAGAGTGATGTGCAGTAGAACTTTCTTCTTTCATATTCTGCACTTATTTTGGAAGGTGTGTCTGTACACTTACTCAAACATCCACCTTATATTCTAACCAGCACAAGCCTATTGGAGCTTCCCTTCCCCACAGTAATATTGCTCTATTTAAACTATTTTTAATTTAACACATTATAGCTTCTATATCCATATGTAGCTTACTTCTGAACAGCTATATATGGCACTGCCCGACTGATTATGACAAAGACCCATCATTAGCACCTTTTCAGGATTGTCAGCAGATAATTTATCTGTTGAGACTTTCCTAAATTAACCAAATAACTGCCATTCCTCTTTCTATAAAGTTGGTGAGTGTGGAAATAATTTAGCAGTCATGCCCACCATTTTGACACTCCAAAATAAGTGCCCAATATGAAAGGATGACATTTTACTGCCCATCACACTATACATGTAATGTGCCCTGAGGTCCAGTTTATTGAACTAGAGAGTTGGTAGTAGACTGGCTCAGAAAGCAGAAGGATTTCTACTTGAGGCTATCTAAGGAATAGATATGAGTCATTCCCCATTCTTAGTTCAGAGCTGGTAACAGTAAGACATTCCTACCTACAGTCAGGCTAGGTTTTGACAGCAAATAAAACCAACCCCTCTCTGTAAGATGATTTGGGAAAATGACTAGCACTAACTCTGGATAACTCTCAGGACCGCCCCAAACATATGGAATCCAAATGGACACCTATCTCTTGATAAAGATCATTGTTTACAACCCAGAACTTAAAAAAGAGACAAACCTGGCAAGGTTTGCGAAATTTGACTGTTCTTAAGGTCTTGATCTGCACCTAAAGAGAGGATCACTTTGATCTCTGAACAGTGCAATGCAGTCCTTGGTAGTTTAAACATATAGCAATATCAGCTTTAAATGTATATTTTAGGGACTTCCACAACCCTAAAACAAAGTACGAACCTGGCAACCAAACAGTCTGAGGTCAGAAAGACTGCCAGTCCCATTGCTACTGCCTAGCATCATCCACAGAAGCTGAATGGTAGAAGATGTACAGGTAGTCCTTGACTTATGATAATAGAAACCAGAAAACTTGCTGTTAAGCGGTGTGGTCATTAAGTGAAGTATCACATGACCACACCCGATTTCATGACATTTTTTGTTGCAGACATTAACTGAATCACTGTGGTCATTAAGCGAATCACCATGGTTCCCCATTGATTTTGATTGTCGGAAGCCAGCTGGGAAAGTCACAAATGGTGATCATGTGACCCTAGGACGCTGCAACCATTGTAAATACACGCCGATTGACAAGGGCCCAGTTTTGATCATGTGACCGCGGGGACGCATGTTGGTCGTAAGGGTGAGGACCAGTCGTAAGTTAACTTTTTTCAGTGCAATTGTAAGTTTGAACAGTTGCTAAACAAACAGTTGTAAGTCGAGGACTACCTGTAGTTAAAAGGAAATACTTCATTCAGCAAATTATGAAAAATTATCACTAGGCATGATGATGACCAGAGCCAGTTTGATGTAGTGATTAAGGCACCAGGCTAGAAACTGGGAGACC